AATTCAAGCATGATACACTTGATTGGTGTGAGCTTAATTTTGCCACAAATGAGCTCAAGTTCTGATTTATGTGAGTTACTAAAATGACCATATATCTTTTCTCATACATATAACCACTGCACTCCAACCAAAAACATTACTTACACCATACTCCACAAATGATATATATATATATATACACAAACACACTAGTACCGAGCAATCGCACTGTAAAACATGCTCACGATACACTCAAAATTGGAAATATTCAACGGCTTGTATATGAAACTTACACTTACACTCAGTGTACACCCAGTGTTAACTAGTATTACACACTGGTAAACTCTACGTAACGCGCGAAAATAATAATTCTATGGCGTTTTCATTGTCACATTTCACGTCGACGGGATTAAACGCGCGCGCGCGCGTAACATCTTATCTTACTGCTATCTCAACGAATAAACACACAACGACTTTGACAATTGACCGACGACTTAACGATTGTGAGTTATGACGGACTTAACTGTATGGGTCAACTACTAAAACTGCATTGTATACTATCTTAATCATTATACTGGACATGAGATGACGAAGTATCTTGAGCAGCACTTTATACCTCCACTTAGAACTTGATTAGTCACGAACAATAGAATCATTATAAATCAATACAATAAAACATCTTGATCAATAAATGCCTAGCAGCACCAGACAGCAGCCGTGTACCTTTTTCGACTCCACGGAGTCCCTGATGGACTTTTGTTTACTTTTGTTAATAATTTGACCGCAACCTTTCTTTCTCGAAACACAAATCCTACTGTACTTCATTACAGTATTAAGATAATATAATATAAAGCAAATCATGTGCATATATGACTACGAAATAGATCTATAGACTTGTCCATAATATTTAATACCGTATTGATGGTTTTGAATTTTGTATATTGAATTTTAATGTGAAGCGTTTACTCTTCCCCCTCGGCAATTAATTAGAAAGTTAGATTAATGACAATAACAAATAATTGCCAAATGACGTAGTAGATATAGATGTTCAATGTTGTAGAGTGATAATTCAAGAGTAGTGGTCCACAGGGGCCCGAAAAAGCCGTACAGGCACTTGGGTCCTTATCCTTGTCACTAGTCCCAATTGGATTCACTTTACACAAAACATGAACGTTTACAATTTAGACGTACACATTGGCACGATATTTATTAGAAAGCAAACAGTATAAAATAATACGTGCGTGCGCGGCTTGAGCCGCGCCGCATAACAATTTATGCGTTTAGGGGCTGGAGTACGCGTGTTTACAGATTAATGAATTGTTGCATTGTAAATATTTAAAGTTGACGATATATTATGATTTAATAGTAAATTTTTCAAAGCTGGCTTTGGACTTAGGTAAAATTATAATTTATTTATTTAAAAGAAAAAACCACGGATAGTTCTTAATTTACATAGTCGTATAACTATTATTAAGAAACTGTTTACACCATTAAAATATTCAAAACCCCTAAAAGAAGTCAAGTCATCCTAAAATGGTGATCAGTACAGATCAGGACAGCTAGAGTTAAAATTTGTTTCTCCAAGCAACTCTATCATCAGCTAATATCTTAAGCTTATTAAGATCATTCAAAGAGTTAAGTTTTAAACCTCTACGGGTCAAATCATTCACAATAATCTTGAACAAATTCTTACGATGCGCACCGACGCGCCCTTTACAGTTTGTTGTGACAGCAAACTTTAACGCTAATGCAGCGGGGGAGTCATCAGCACTACGCAAGATATGACCTAGGAGCTTCCACCTTGCTTTAGGGACACGATCTGATAGCTTTACTGAGTTACATCTTAGGTATAAGTTTGCATTAGATATTGTTCCATGGGGCCAATAAATGTTCAGTAATGATCTAAGGTGTTTTCTATGGCAAATGTCTAGTTTTTCTAGTGACTTTGCAGTAGGACACCAACTACTGCAATTGTACATGATGATTGATACAATTTGGGCTTCGTATACTGCTATCTTTCTGGTAACGGAGATATTCTGCTGAGACCAGATCTTGGTGAACTTATAGAAGGCATTGTTCCCAGCAATGCATCGAGCAGCTATATCACTTTCACTACACAACAGTGACCCAAGAATCTTACTCTTCCGCCAATCTTCATTTCCACGTAACATGGTATCATCACGACCAGGGATTGTTTCTCCAACAGGAGCGAGGAAAACATGGGTAAATTCTGTTTTCTCTGTGTTAATGAACAGGTTAAACTCCTTGAAGACTTCCTTGGCTATTGGTAGGATAGCTTCTAAGGATTCTTTTTCCACGTTCATGAAGTTACAATCATCTGAATACGCTGACTCCAGTGGCATACCTTCTTTAGAAACAGGGGGATTGGGTATGTGTGGGGGAGATTCTGCTAGTCGATGGCGTAGTTCTATAAGAGCTCCTGCAAGGACAAGAGTGAAAAGCTTGCCGGAGAGACTGTCGCCTTGAAAGGATCCAAGAAGACTCTCGAAAACAGCAGATAGTTCTCCTTCCACTCTGACCTTGAGCATGGTGTTGGTTAAGAGGAGTCTTACTAGCCTGAGGTCGTCGTCTGTGCATCCAGCTTTGACAAGGAGGTCAAGTATTGTCTGGCGTTTGATTGTGTCAAATGCTCGAGACATATCTATGCCCATCTTGTGATACTGGAAGTGTTTACGCGTGACAACCGATATCAACATCCGCTCAGCCCACACTAGATCACCACAACTCCTACCATGTTTGTACCCCGCCTGCGTGCTACCAGTGAAAGCATCAACTTTGTCTTCGATTCTCTTCAGTACAATCATGGATAATATCTTACGAGCACCATTTGATAGACATAGAGGTCGTAGACTAATGACAGGACCGGCTGGTTTGCGAGGTTTCGGCAAGGGGGTGATGATGGCTTCACCTATAACATCAGGAAATGAATTGGTCTCCAATGCGTTATTGATGATCTCGGCATATTTTGACCAGAATTTTGTACCAGCATTTTTCAACCACTCGTTGTAGACTTTATCTGGACCAGTGGCTTTGTTGTTCTTGAGAGATTGGGCGGCTTTCTTTACTTCATCACATGTGATGGGTATGTCTAGGCAGCGTCCATCCCCTATAAATGCTTGAAGTGGTTCATCCTCACACGTGAACTGCTTTTCGTAGTAGTCTCTGATCACTTGAGCTTTACCAGCATCTGTGGCAACAAAGTTACCTTCTTCATTGTGGACACTGATAGTAGATTTGGGCTTAGTGTCAGCTAGAGTACGCACAGCTTCAAACATCTGCCTTGTGTCATCTGTTGACATGATGGTTCGAGCGATGTCATCGGCACGTGTGTCACCAAGGTTCTTGAGATGCTTACGGATGTCTTTCTGTAACCTGTTGATCCTTGTACGGACTTGAGTTCTGTCGGCAGCTTGGTTGTTACAGTTAAATGCAGCTTGCAGGGTTTGTCTCTCTTTTACAAGGGCTTCAACAGTAGAGTCACTACTGAAGTTACGGTTTCTGGAGCGTGGTAGGGTCCCGATTACTTCATCAGCAGTTGTTTTGAGGACATCCATCAGGTTAGTGAGATCATCATTAGGGTTTGATGTTACCTGAGAGTTGTTGACTTTCTGTTCGACTGAAAGTTGGTATTTGACTTTGGTGGGAAGGTCAGTGGTATAACTATAATCAAGTTAATCCTGTTTTCAAGAATGCGCGGCTTTGGCGGCCAGTTATTGACTTGTACATAAAATTGAATTTTAAATAGAAATGTGAATGTATTAAAATTTAAAACTTTCAAAACGGAGGCTTATACATTATAAATATTATTATATTATGATTGTAAAATAAAGGATAAAATTTTAAATTTGTTTCACTAAAAAAAATTTGTTTCACTTCAATCAAAAAAGCTCACAACGCGACAAAGCTTTAAAAAGCCGCTCCTACTAAATCGTTCGCCCAAATTTTAAGAAAATTCTTGTGAAAAGGCCCTTCGGGCATGAAAGTGATCTGGATCAGTATATTTTTGGACGCTGATTCCGAATCACCCCCCATGACGTAGGGTTAAAATGCTTCCCTGGAGAGTTATGGGCAAAAAACCGTTTAATTGGTCACGTGACAGGCTAGTAAAATATGAATTCGATTGTTTAGGTATAGGGCCCGGGTTAGGGTTAGGGTTGTGGTAAGGGTTATGGTTAGCTTCGGGGTTATGGTTAGGGTTAGGGTTGGGATTAGGGTTTATGTAAAACCGTTTTGTACGGCTGCAAAACCATAAAAACCAAAGTCACGTGAAATTTTTGGGCGAGCGAATTAGTAAGAGCCTTAAAAAGCGCCGCGCACAGGGACTGGAAATTAGTAATTTTTAAACCTTTGATTTTTAAATTTAAATGTATAATAAAAACAAATAAAATTGAAAATAATTCCAAATATTTTATATTTCATTGCAAAATTAATTTGATTGTTTCTATTCAATTATTTGTAGCTTTATTAGAATTTATTTTTGTGAAAAGGCCCTTAGGCTATATAAATAGTTTTAATTTGTAATTGTTTAGTTTTTATATTTTTAGACGCTGTAAAAATATATTCCTTATTGCATTACATTTCACATAGCCATTAAAATTTTGATGTAGCAGTCTTGATAAAGCATTATAATATTATTATTATAGTTCGCATGGTTTAGTTCGCAATCCATGCAATTCTTTTATTATATCGTACATTTATATTGTATATTGCTTATGGTATTACATACATTAAAGTCATGTAATTATTTAACCGACTTGTTAGTTTATGGCTCACTTCTTCATGGGAAAGGTGTAACAAATGACGTGCCAAGTAATGAAATTATATTGAATAAACATGCATTTGTAACCTTTGATAAACGTAATTATCAAAATTAAGGTTTTTGAGTCATTCTCATTTCTATCTGGATACATGTATGATTATGAATTTTATGACATTGAATAAATCTGTTCATGATTATGAGTTTCAAGGACTATTAGCATTTTATACTTATTTGCTTTCACTTCTGCAGCGGAACGTTTAGGCAGTTACTCTTGCGACCAGTGTTAAATATATCCTTGTAATGTATTTATGCGTTAGAGAGATGAATCACATTTGACGAAATCATTACTTTACCTTGCCTGTTTTACTTAATTTGTCTAATAGTTGTGTTTTTGAAAATGCGCGATATTTTGTAAAATGTTTTATCCTCAGTTCATAGGGGAGGGGATATTCGATCAAATTTTTCAACATCATCAAAATGAAAGCTAACCCAATGAAAATACAAGCATATTCAGATACCTGTAATGATCCGTAAATTGAATTGGCATGACTGTCTAAAAGCAGATCTTTTTAGCTGAGGTTTTGCTACAACTGGCAACCTTTGATAGAACTTGTCACTGACACCCCTTGCCATTATTGTTATTCCTCAACCTCTCTGCCATCATGTAGTTTTGGAATGTATACTGAAATTTATCTTTAGAAAATATTTGGAGCTTAGTAGAAGATACTAAGCAAAGAGTATGCAAGCATTTTGGTACGCAAACATGTGTTGTATTTTTGATCATCATTCCATAAAAGTACAGTTATAAGTTTAATGGAAGTAATGTCATAAATTTAATGGAACTCTTATCTCAGCATACACTCAGTCCATTCCTCTCTTTTATGCAGGAGCTAGTGTATTATACTAAAGGAATTCTAAATGCTCAAGCTTTTTCTGAGATCAACCACTAATAACTTTCAACGACCTTCTCATCTGCTTTTTTGACAAGTTTCTTATTTTTATCATATTATATTCAAATTGTCATTATTGTAAAACCAGGTAAATTTGATCATTTTGGTGGCATCGATTTTCGCAAATCTAAATAATTCAAGGGAGAAATGTGTAAGAGGCAATCAATTTTGCTGCAAAAATTTTCGGATTTTTGGGTCCTAAAAAATTTGGTTTAATTTTAGACAGAAGTTTTTAAAATCTGCAACCTGTTTACGTGGAGGAATTAACAATATTTAATCTTAACTGGAAATTGGAATGATAGAATATTTTATCGCTGTATTGGCTGATGGCTAGGACGTGTTATTGGTTTGCTCATGATTCAATATCAAAGACTGTGCTTCCAGATCCTAATAACGGTAAAAATATCAACAAATAATTTGTATGGACATTATTGCTACTTAAATTCTCCTTGTAGACGATAACAATAGTAACGGTCTATATAGTATTATATAACATTTCTAAATTATCCCAACACATTTGTAAATAATTAAAATTGCGTACCTTAAATTATTTCAGAATTACAACTATTGTGTACTCAATAAAGTAATTATCACTTTTGTAGCCTTGTATCCTTGTATCCTATTTTCAGTAAATGTTCATTATGGAGATTATTATAAATCGCTATTAAAATTATCCTTGCAGACGATAACAATAGTATCGATTACGATTTTAGTAATATTTATTATGGAGATTATTTTAAATCGCTACTAAAATGCTAATATTAGACAATTACAAGTTGCAAGTAATCTGCATCATAATAATGCCACCATGTTGCATCGTTATAAGCACAAACTTTAATATTCGTTGACGGCCTTAGTAGGATTCGAATTTTTCAGTAGCTTTGCTTTAAAATATTTTGGTTAATTTTAGTTCATCGGATTTATTACATGCTGTTTGTATATTGCAGTAACTAGGAGGAACCCGTATAACCCTAAAATGGTGTCAAGACTCAAGAGACTAAAATAATTATTACCTATTTAATTCGCGTTTTTGACACCACTTGGGGGTCCAAATTTTGGGCTCTAAAATTCCTATTCCTTGGCCAATTTTTTCATGCTAAGTTGGAGGCCATTCAAGTATTTGACCCAGTCAAAAAAGTTTCAGTTGTATATCTTGTACGGATTTTGCGGAAAGTCGCGTTAAATTTTATGCCGTGGTGTCAGTAAAATGGTACGGATATATACAGCTATGCAGAACACGATTTCCTGTGAAGAAGAAACACAAACACTAGTGCCACAGTACGAGACATCACCTTTCCGCCGCATCACCTTCATCTGCACTCTACATTTGCACTCCACTCCAACACAATCACATCGTCGACTACACAATCACACATCAAGCATCTTTATTTTTCACATTTCACTTTGTTTTTGTTCCTTGCTAGGGTTTGCGTGCTTTTCTCGCTCTTTTTGGTAGCTTCTATCTTGATCGATTTGCACTCGCCTCTGGCTTTAGAGTGACACCACGTCATTTTGGTAATGGTTTTCTCTCCCATTTGGATTACGGAATTTGGATTTATTTTAGCAACGCCGATCTAACGTTATTATACTGTAATAAATAGATCTATCTTTGTAAACCTTGTAAACCTTGTAAACCTTGTATACACATATATCGTCTCGCTTTATATATAGTAAGATATCGTTGTTTCTTGACACCACTTTAGAGTTAGACGGGTTCCTGCTATTACAATTAATGCATACGAATAAGTTAAGTTCGAAGGTATTTAAAAGTAATGTTCCCTAAAAAATGTTCTCAACTTTAATCTTACTAGATTTACAAAAGTAGTCAGTATGAGACTTGATAAACCCCGATTTAAGGTGCTCTACTTGTAGCCTGGACAAAAATGGCTGAGTTATGAATCAAAACCATATGCCCATATTTGGGAATATGCACCAAATTTGATATATTTTGGCCCATAAATTGGTCAAGTATCAATATCTTTGAACAAGACTTTACATAAACTTTACATGAAATGTAAACCTAATCTATACAATATCTGAGATTTATAGCTTGATATCTATAGAAACGTGGACACTAAGGCCGAAATACCACCAAAAATGAACATTGAACAAAATTGCCCATATCTCAGTTCCTGATTCTCGCGAAAGGGACTTCACCAAAAAGCCTAAGGCTGCTTCATTTTTCCAAATTGTTGTATATTATATTATATTAAAGTATATTAAAGTATATTGAAGTATATTTAAGTATATGAAAGTATATTAAAGTATAGTAAAGTACATATATTAAAGTATATTGAAGTATATTAAAGTATATCAACATATATTAAAGTATATTAAAGTATATTAAAGCATATTACAGTATATTAAAGTATATTAAAGTATATTAAAGTATATTAAAGTATATTAAAGTATATTAAAGTATATTAAAGTATATTAAAATATATTTAATAAAACAAATATTTTAATAAAGATTAAATTATTAGAGTATATTAAAGTATATTAAAGTATATTAAAGTATATTAAAGTATATTAAAGTATATTAAAGTATATCAAAATATATTAAAGTATATTAAAGTATATTAAAGTATATTAAAGTGTATTAAAGTATATTAAAATATATTAAAGTATATTTAAGTATATTAAAGTTTATCCCCGGTATTATATTATATTAAAGTATATTAAAGTATATTGAAGTATATTTAAGTATATGAAAGTATATTAAAGTATAGTAAAGTACATATATTAAAGTATATTGAAGTATATTAAAGTATATCAACATATATTAAAGTATATTAAAGTATATTAAAGCATATTACAGTATATTAAAGTATATTAAAGTATATTAAAGTATATTAAAGTATATTAAAGTATATTAAAGTATATTAAAGTATATTAAAATATATTTAATAAAACAAATATTTTAATAAAGATTAAATTATTAAAGTATATTAAAGTATATTAAAGTATATTAAAGTATATTAAAGTATATCAAAATATATTAAAGTATATTAAAGTATATTAAAGTATATTAAAGTGTATTAAAGTATATTAAAATATATTAAAGTATATTTAAGTATATTAAAGTTTATCCCCGGTGCAAAATAGGAAAAAAACCTACATTGTAATGTACTTTAATGTGGTCATCCCCCCCCCCCCCCCCCCCCCCCCCCGTAATACATTGATGTAAAGTTTATTCGAATTTTGAAATAAAACTGCTCTTGGAAATCAAGTAACATTTTTGGAATCGCAGTATGGCGTAAAAAGTTTATATTTACTTTACTTTATATGTTCGTTTTTAATCTCAAATCCCTCTATACGTAGTGGGACAAAACGTCAAAGTTAGGTAATTAGTTCTGTCATGATGCATGACTCATGACTCTTCATAAAAGGCGTTAAAATAAATCAAAGGGCCAGATTTATGTTACTTTGTTTAGATACATTAGCCAATTTCATTTAAACACACGTGCCGACGTAAAGGCAGACATGTGATTAGGCTTTCACGACTCCAAACTCATTAAAATACTAATCTAATAGTAATAGGTTTAAGTTCTGATTATGTTTGTCGAAAAGGTTTTTGTCTTTTCATCTTTGGGGCATTAGCGATTTACCAAATAGCCTTTAGAATTCATATTAACTAGCCTTGTTCTTCGTGTAACGTTTTTTAATAGGCAGAGATAATGACCATATTTCAACAAAAGTCACAAAGTTTTCCATCATATTGGCTATTGACCAGCTGATGGGCTCGTTTAGCATAGAGAAGAGCCGTATTTTAAAACGGGACCTGATTTGCATTTAATGTCAAACATGACAATTAAACTATTTATCTACAATTTATAAGGTTAAAGGTGACAGCTACGTTTTACTGCATGCAGACCTCGAGTTGTTATTGGTTACTCCACCTCAAATTGAGCTCTCTGATTGGTTGAGTTGACTGACTCCACCTCAAATTGAGCTCTTTGATTGGTTGAGTTGACTGACGTGTTGGAAACACTACATACCAATGATCAGCCCTCGTTTTCAGATCGGTTTTAGCTGACATTTTATTCCTAGTTTTGGTACTGAGCCCTGTGGTATTGTGACAGTTTCATTTGGACTGGACTATATAATACCCTGGATTAGGGGACACAAAACTCTGTATTGCACCAGCTGCCCCCCCCCTCTTGTCATTCCCCTTTAATTGTCAGGTCTTGAGACCCGGGCCGGCCCCCCTTAAACAACCTATATATCTCAATTAACGATTGTCAAATTATAAATGTCGGAATAAACGTGTGACTCGCGGGGGTTTATCAGAGCGGAGATCCCTAAACTAGCTCACTTCATCAGCATTTATAAGTCATTTTAGCTGAAGGGTTTACGATTTTATTAATTAATTGACGAGAGGACACCTGTTTATATATATCACCCTCTCTCTCTCTCTCTCTCTCTCTCTCTCTCTCTCTCTCTCTCTCTCTCTCTCTCTCTCTCTCTCTCTCTCTCTCTCTCTCTCTCTCTCTCTCTCTCTCTCTCCCCTCTCTCTCTCTCTCTCTCTCTCTCTCTCTCTTGGAGACGGACAAAGTGCTCCATTAAGTGCCGCTTTATAGAAAGGATAAACTTTTGTCCTGGTCCCTTCAGTTTTACATGCTCGTTTGAGAGTTGCACTGATGAAATTGCTGAAAATACTGGCCGCGTCCCGTGATTTGAGAGAGTCAGCGCCCACGTGCCCCAAGCTGATATTGTGCCCCAATTTGTTTAGTTTAATATCATTATAAGAAACTGATTTAGTACTTGCCTTTTTTCTTCGCTAACTCACTGATTACCCCCTCATATGAAACATTGGTAGCCAGTCGAGCACCCCCAACTTTCGAATGAACCAGTGATTGATTAACTTAGGCCACCCCGATTGGTTGACCATTCTCGTGGTATATGCCCATATCAGGCTACGTCACGTGTCCACATATATGATCGCCCTTAAAATAAAGCCCCTTCCCATTGTCAATATTTGGTATTATAATCGGGCCTTGTCTTATGTGTTTATTTATTTGCGAGATCGCTGCCGAAGCGTTTGTGCTGGATAATCTGTCGTTATATATGGCAGAGAATCGAAAGAAGTTGATTGTTCTTATAAATTTTATCTTGACTTGATGAGGTGGGAGTGGTTAATATGGTAAAGCACCTTATTTATCGTTTAGTTAAGAAAAGGATCATATTGTTTTTAACCAAATAATGTGATATGTGACTCATAACTAATTATCCAATTTTTCAGTCGAAATACGAATAAGATTTGATTTGTTAGAACCTGCTTTTACCTGTCACCTTTTACCTGCTGTTACGTTAAATATTGCTAATACTTTTCGTAACACGACCTTGCTTCTTATTTGTTTACAAAAACTTTGCTTTTACTTTAGTGTTGTAACCTTATCTTATTTTAGGTGACCATTGAAATGACCATGTCCGAAGAATTGAGGAACCGATCCCCTGCTTCTCCTACTTCTACAGACAGTTCAGGTACTTTTAGCTGTTTTTAGATTACTTCAAGGTCCTTTTAAGTATTTTAGAATAATTCAAGTATTTCCTAAAACTCGGAGGTGTGCTCATCGTTATGTGGATGGTTTGATAAATATTGATCACTGGATTGGTTTTAAATCATTCGTGTAATTTACAGGTGTGTTTGTAAAGTTGGTATTACGAGAGGAGATAAGAAAGTTGAAAATAACAGAATTCAGCTCGCCCTACGAAGAAATGATTAAATTCGTCGACGAGCAATTCTCGGTAAGCACACTATCAAGTATCTACTGATTTTCCATTACAGTAGTAACTAGTAAACCACAAGGTGTCAGTAAATAAATTAGGTTTTTATAATTATGAATTATTTTCAAACCCTCTAATCACTTCCCAAACACTTGGTTACACAGCTAATATTCAAGTTTGACAAATATTAAGTTGGATTTTATAAACTGTCATTTAGAATTAGATGCACAACCCTGACAATCCACTAACTCCCACTCCATAAATTATGTAATTCAAATAACTCACCCACTGACCCAGGTATTGGGTGTAGTCCGACTGAGTTACAAAGACGATGACGGAGACGAGATAACAGTAAGCTCAAACAGAGAAGTGCAAGATGCGCTCCAGAGCAGTGGTAACGTGAAGATACTGAAGTTTAATGTCAAGGACATGAAGGAGGAATCCGGTAGTGATAACAGCGAGCCCAACAGTCCCAGTGGGAATATCAAGGAGGTGAGTGTTAGGAGAGGGGGGGGGGGGGGGGGGCAGGGGGGCAGGGGGGGGGGGGCAGGGGGGGCGACCCCTGGTTGGGAGAGGTGAGTGTTAGGAGATTGTTTGGATTTTACGTTTATTTGAGAAATTTACTGTTGTCGCCAAGGTGAAGTGTTGTTTTTGTTCCTTTTTATGAATTGATAGACCTTAACCTATGTTTTATTTTGAGGTTTCTTATTTGATATCCCCATTTAAGAACCTACAGACTTTTCTTTATTTCTAAAATACCCGGCCCCCCCCCCCCCCCGCCCCCCCCCCGCCCCCCCCCCTTCACAACTAATCTCTATCTCTACCCCAAGAACCTACAAACGAGTCTGTACAACACAGTAGTAAGCACGCCCAGCCACGTCCTAAACGCTATGCTGGAGGAAACGCAGATGTCTCAGTTACAAAGTGAGGTCGACCAGCGAGTCACTGGTAGGTGTTCTTTTCTTTCTCTCTTTCGCAGACTTTGTTAACAAACCACCGTCTGATCTGAGGAAAGAATTGGATTCCTCTCTTTTAAATTTATTTGCATTAGATTTTGGGATATTCTTAATCTGGGACATAACAAATTTGGGTGGTGCATATTGCGTAAATAGTTTGATCATGATTTCTTAGCATTGCACTGAAGCTATAGTGAATCGTAAGCTGCTCAAATGATAAGCCCCATTTTCGGTAAATCTATTTACTGACAATAATTCTAATGATTTTGCGGTTTCAATTAAAAGATTCGCCTAGATCTGACCATCCCAACTTTTAATAGCCAGATTTATTTGCTAAAATTTACTCTTTGGATATGAATAATCGACCACAAGTCATGTGATTAAGATTATCCGATATGATTGGTTGAAACAACATTTCCGGAATTCTACTGGTCAGAAATTACTGACATCCAATTAAGGCTTCGTTATCGCGGTGATCAAAAAATAAATTAACTTGACAATATATGGCAATGAATATTTCAGATCAACTAAAATCAACAATTACTCAATATTAATGATAAAAGCCATTTGAAAACTCACAACAACTTCTCAGAATTATGATTCACTTTTCTCAGGTTTAAGACGAGGCAAGTCGATGGGAGACGAGAAGATAACAGTTCCAAACATATTTACCACATTCGACAACAAAGTCATGCGGCAATTCGAGGTAATGCGACAATGAAATAACACAGTATTACTATTAATGTTCAAATTAAATGCATATTTCTCAAATTATCAGTACACGCATCATAAACTGTGCCCCAACAATATATGAACACTATTTGTAACCCCCCTATTTGTAACCCCCCTATTTGTAACCCCCCCTATTTGTAACCCCCCCCCCCCCTATTTGTAACCCCCCTATTTGTAACCCCCCCCCCCCTATTTGTAACCCCCGATATCCTCGCTAGGTTGGAACCAACGGAGTATCCTGTACAATCTGTCCGCTCCCCAAGTGTCCCAAACCCACAACAGATTTCAGCAACTTACGGGCTCACGGTAGATCTGAGACTCACCAGCAGCAGCTTACTTACCATGTAAGTTATTTCTGGCCCACCCCCTCTAGTAGCTTTGTTATCTCACTACTTTGTTTGAATTTTTAAATGAGAACTTATTTTTCTCTAAAGAAATATCATTAATCTGCTATGTAAGCCGATAGATTTTTCTGGAGAAACATCTATGATATATCGGCTAACACAGAGCCTGTTACATAACTCACAATCTTTGTAGTAGTGCTAGTAGTGTTACTAGTAGTGTTACTACTAGTGTTACTAGTAGTGTTACTACTAGTACTACTTGTGATATACTTTTTATAAACTTATAAAGGAGTACATATGCCATGTCGTTTTACAACCTCTAAAATCCTAAATATGCTAATATATATGGTGCCGGGTATCTCAAATTGATACAATGTTGGAATTCATTTGACGTCACTCATTCAATCCACTGATCGTGTTCTCTGTTTTGACTTGAGAGTGCCTTGTAACCATTCCCACATATTAGTGGTAATTATATTGATTCCTTAAACATGATATCATTTCAATTCATATCGCGGAAACAGTGTCATGGGAAAATTTCTGAGAGAGGAGGAGGGTGTCTTTTATCACCAATTTAGAGACTTGCAACTTGTCCCAAGTTCCCGACTAATTGATATTAATGAACCATCTACAGTGTTTATTAAATTTACCCTAATTTGATAAGCCAAGGTCCACTAAATTCTCCCTGCATTAAGATCTCCGCGGTCATCTCCCGTAAAACTTGCTGTGTTGATCTCCAGTTTTGGCCTTGAATTATCGCTTGATTATCTAACGACGTCTAGAATTATATCAGAGTACGTATCATAGAAAGTTGTTACAGTCACCCCACGTGACATTAACTCACAAGTACCTAGCCTCGTGTTGTGATCAGCTTTACCTAGTTCACCCCGACTTTTGTTACTGTTCTTAGCGCCGCGTCCAGTTTAATCTTACTCCTTTATCAAACACTTTATATATCAAATTTATTGGTACAATAATTTGGTGAGTAATTATCAGCTTTATATATAGTGTTTATAAAAGTGACGACCCCTATAAAAGGTCAGGTATTTAGGGAGTCGGATGAAAAGTACCAGGGTCCCAGTGTTACGCTATCTCGTTCAGTTTCAACTGGTACCATGACCCCAACTCCACCAACCCCGTCATCTTATAAAGTAGCGGCCAGGTGATTCTAACCCATTTTAACACGGAATTACATAAACCAATTCATGGTAATAACCGGTTGCTACTTTACCCAATAAAGAGGCTGAGCGGGGAGGTTGGTACGGGAGGTTTCCGGAGACGAACGACACGGACAACATACTGAAGATCTGGGGGGTATGGCAAGCTGGGGGACTAACGAGCTTTATTGATGTTAGACAATCTGCAGAGTAGTGCCTACCTAACAGACACTGTCACTTATCTCCTACTAAAATTAGTTGATCACGATTATAAGGAGACAGGGTGGACGTGAGAATCTTGGGAATTTTTCTAACAAGTTTTAACAAGTTTAAAGGCATCATTAGTGGGTGATCAGGGATCAGGGGTTGTGATCTGATGGTGTTCGGGGAGTGAGCATTGAAAACTGAGCACTGATTCGGGGAATGATTTGGAGTACTTTTGATGCTTCTTCGCAATTATCGATTGGGTGATTTTTCTGGTAAAAGTGACTGAGAATTTTAGTACTTCGTTTGAGGACAAATTAATAATCCATTGATAGTAATAGCATGATTTAACGGTTAATGCACGTAACCTGTCTACCATCTAATACAGTCTAAATCGGGAGAGATCGGCCTGGTGAAGAAATTCCATCTAGTTACAGCCCTGGTACTCTAGCACCAGCTCACCTGATGGGATTGTTCTGGTATATTATCTTGAAATAAAGAAGGGTCAGTCGTGCGTTATAGTACGTTTAAATGAAACCCCCTTCATCTTAGAAATTGATATTGCAGCTGGCCCCGGTCAATCAACGTCAAAATAAATTGGAATCTCGCTGGAAGATTGTTCCATTTAATTTACCCTGGCAAAGATGATTAACCAAATGCTGTGCTAGGAGAGCTTGATTGTTTGTTACAATTTGAAATCACCTGGGATGATGTCTGTACGCACTGTAAATAAATAAATACTGCCCCCTCACCTTCTCCCCCTTCTTCTCTCAGAAATCTCAAATCAGTGATGCGTGAACCCAGCATAGACACTTTCCAGACTTATCTTATAATCAGAGATAATTTGAAATTTATTATCATTACTGCTGAATTATTACTCATTGGGGGCCGGTATAAGTTCAAAAAGCCAGTGTTATGTCGTTCCAATCCGTCTTTTCAACCCAGGTTTTGATAATTATGTCCCAAATTATGCCCTTTATCCAGCATAATTAACCGCCTCCCCACGTGACACCCCACAATACGGTGTCAGTTAGTTGATCCAGACAGGGTGGTATTCTCGGGTAAGCCACCTGATTAGGTGTTACTCAACGTCTCCTTCCAGATGTCTGACCAGCTTGAACCGTAGCTCGGTAGGATCACTGGAAATACGGTTTTGGATTTGCTCTCCTGCCAAGTGTTATAGACAAGGATTATGGCGGACTTCTTTTTGAAAAGCTTCAAAATTAACTCCGACAAGTACACGACAGTTCTGACATAGATCATGGCCGGGTTTTTGCCGTCTGCGTCTTTGTAGGTTTGGATGTGGAGAGAGGCCGGTATAAAGACCGCCGCCGAGATTTGGGAGATTGGTACATAATAGTGATCAGGTCTGCTGGAAACTCTCACGTGTTGCAAATTCTTTTTGAAGGGGGCGAAAAACATCTTCGACATTTGAATATTATAATGAGAAGGTGTGCTGGGGTTGAAATAATGGACTCGATTTAATAGCGCTAAAAGTTGGTCGTGCTGCTTTTCTTTCAAACTTGAAAAACACAAAGAGGTTCGCTTGCCAATCAACCTCAATATTTTTGACATACAATGCCACTTTTCAAACTTTGATATCATTTTACAATAGGGGTCATTATTGTAAAATTGTCTTTTTAATGCGTATTTAAAACATCGTACGTGCTAAGAAAATCTTTGATCAAATACGAACCCTGACAGAGAATTGCACCAGACACCCAAATAACTGTTGCAAAATAAAGGAAATTTTAATTTATTCACGAATCACCATTTTGATATCAAACATTGGGATGGTTTTTGTTCAAATATTTGAGACTGCTCTAATATTAATGAGCCGACGATAAAATCCTTTGAATCACTGAATTTGTATCCTCTAAGTGCGTAATACTTGCGATCGTACAAAATCTAGTGCTTTGGTACACCATAGCACCAGAGATCACATCTCTTAAAACCAGATAATTCCCAGATCCCCAATTAATTCAGACTAAAGGCGCACATTATCCTTAAAACTTGGAATTTATCCCTTAACTGACTATGACGTCAGCTTGCTTTAGTACCACCACCACAACGTTTCACCACCTCTGCACCTTTTTCATAAGAAATTTCAAGGTCGTATCTCCCTCAATTTCTGGGGAACTATGGTCAGGAATATTAAATAAAAGTCACGTGACCCTCAGACCAACCCTCGCATTGGTTTAGTGTACAGCATTTCTCCCAGCTGATTGGTCGATTGTAGCAGTCACCATGACGACTGCTTAGCAATAAACCGAACGGTTTTCCCTTCACAGATCACTCTCTGACCAATAAGAGGAGTTGTAAAGCGAATTTGTAAGCTTACTTTAGATATACCGATTAAATAAAAATGCGCATAAAATAATTAATAGGGTGGAAGATTATTATGGGTTGATAAGCGTGAAGGAGTAGTGGTAAGCTGGACCACTCACAACCCGCCAATTCTTAACCGCCCAATAACTGTTAGCTAAACGTGTAACGTGACCAGAAATTACCCCATAAGAGAAGGAAACTTCACTGCACGTGCGCTCTGATCCCAGAAAATTGTAATGTTGACTTTTGAGAATGTTGACGCCGCGGGGGTTCACAATAATGCGTATAAATGCTTCTAATAGTATTAAAATTATAATAACCAGTGATTGCTCCTAATTATGTTGATCTGGTCTTATTGCCTGGTCAGGGTAGAAGACTCTGTGTCTCCACAGGCCGGTAAACAGAAACAATTTCACTCACTTTAGCGAGCTATTACTGGATAATACTAGCTGGATCAAATCCGTCTAACAAATTTGCGAGAGAACAGTTGAGAAGATGATGAGTTGGTTCTACATGTGTCTCCCCACTATTAAGTGTCAGCTGTGTGCCAGCACATAATCGGCATTATACGCCGCAATCCACCGTTACTACTGACCTCCTCCTCCAACTAATGGTTTCTTAAGCTTCTTCTCTAGTGGTTTCCTAAACAAGTCCTTATACCGAGATGATGATCACGCCATTCAGCCTAACACAGCCAGCCATCATCTCCAGATTATCATGTTTGATAAACCCCACAAACCACATATTGTTATATTTTAGCTGTTATTATATTAACGTCACTAGCCTGGATATGTCTCACTTATCTATGCATTGTGATCCTTGATGTGTCCCTAACACCACCATTAAGGAGATTGTTACGATTCGGGGGCCGTTTATCACCCGGCCCAGGATTGGGTGGTAATTTGGGTCGGTTAGTATTTTATCTGTTACAAGTTAATGTCGGACTCGCTTCACTATTCAGGACCCCGGACCTGATAATTGGGGTCCTTTATTATTGGGGTCCGGTAAAAACGTGCCGCTATATTCCAAATTCTATCCTAATGACGAGAGAGAATTTAAATGTTGATGTAAGAGAGAGAGAGAGAGAGAGAGAGAAGTATTTTCTACCAGCCACAATAAAGCCTTTGAGATTTACAATTTATTTTAATGTCAATCATAATAACAATGGGGTCTTAGCTTTATTTGAAACGTTGCAAATCGTAAAGGTAACGCAAGCTGACCAATGGCTGCGCTGGAGTCAGCCCACGTGACTCGGTGCAGCCAATCAGCTGCATGCATTTCAATAACGTGGTCCTACTACCTGCAGCTGGC